CTAGTTCTGTCTATGAAGCTAAATTTGTTTCATGTAATGATCAAAATAAAACATCTTTTTTTACTAACAACGTGTATTTTGTAATTCAACAACCATTTAGTATGGACCACGAAATCGATAACATATTACATGGTGGTAGAACGCTACGCACAGAAAAAAGGTACATACTGTACTGACTGCTGCTCGCTTTGGCTACGCGATTAAGCTGACGTAGGACTTATTTTAAACTATTAAATCTGGAATGGTTGAGGCAAATCGTTATAACCGAATAAAAATTCATTGAAATATTTCTTTGGGGAAGACAGTAGACATCGTTATAGCCGAATTTTCGCTATAAAAGAATCGCTATATGCGTGTTTTCTTTAAGGAAAACATGCTTATTGTATTGTATTCATTGGTATGTTTGTATGACTTTAGGTGTAAATATTACAAGTGTGTAAGTTGTTTGTTTATGTTGGAACTTTTGTAACTTATTGCTGCCACCTTGGCCAGGACTCCCCGGAAGAAGAGATAATGTATCTCAATGGGACATTCCTGGTAAAATAAAGGATAAATAAAAAGGAATTTAACGTTACTGAAGGTCGGGGATTTGGAATCGAAGCGTTACAAGCGTGTTTTCGTTATAAGCCGAATCGTAATAACCGTGCTCGACTGTACTTCTCAACTGATTCGTTGAAGACATCTTTCTCACTGAAAAGAAGAAAAATTGCTTAACTTTTACAGAATAATTAAAAATAAAACTCGATTAAATACGAGTACATAGCTTTGATCTAACGGATCCTCTGCCTTCATAAAATCAGTATTATGAAGTACAGAAAGGCCATAGATGGTGCACTGGAATAAAACTCATGATTTATCTACCAAATAATAAGCTCAGCAACTTAATCAAGTGCATTCAAAATTAATTCAACACTTACCTCTGGCATCAATACATCAAGAATGAACTTGATTTTATCCTAGATCAGCAAAACAGTAGGGGTCCTGTCAAGGAATCTTTAAGGTATATGAAAGGTATATGGTTTTGCTGTTCATCATCCTCGAAATACACAGGAACGATGTAAGAAGATGGTTTCAGAAACTTTTTCAGATACTTTGATTTATTCTTGCCCATTAATATGCCCTATGACAAGGAAGCACACTAATCAGTCATGCACCACATAATATAATAATGCACTCCATAATTTTCAAATTACTTATTGTAATCTACTCTCTCCTTTCCTTAAGTAACCATTCAATACTTATAGTATGAAAAACATGTTCTTTCATTTTGCACTACAACTAATAGCTGCTGAGGGTTGCAAACAGTGGGATTTCTTGGTAAAACAAAAACATTTCATGGCTACTAAATGCATAATTTGCCCGTGTTAGTTCTTACTTATAACTATTGAAAATATTAAAGGAATAATATCTTATATTCAGTAGTTCTTTTGCCACTTGTTCCTTGATTATAAGGTCCACAGGCTTTTCGTTGTTTGAAGTGCGCTCACTGAGCACCACCTCATGTTTTGGGGTGCTATAACTTATTTTAGACGTACTGGATACCCTGTACACAGGCTGCAACTTGTCCTGAAGAAGGTCAGTTGCCTCAACAGTCCAAAAGGCAAATCTGAAGCTATGTCTGAGAGAGAAATAAGAGGAGCTATGGTTAACAAGTTTTTACTATTTTAACCTGCATGGTAATCTGCACCTTACAATATATTTTTTCTGCAAAATAATATATAATATTAGGAAATACACATTATACAAGATCATACAATTCCTTGGTGAGACCTCACCTAGAATATTGTGTACAGGTTT